ATTTTCATTCATTGCCACAGATTTGTGGTCCATCACCCAAATGTCTACCATACACTGAGTTAATTCCTCCTAGATCTTTTACATATTTGTTTGTTTACCCATTTGATTTTTGTGTGTGCTCCCACCCATGCCACAGCTTGTTTGTGAAGGCCAGAGGACAGCTTGCAAAAGTTGTTTCTCTTCTTCCATCATGTGGGTTCTGGGAATTGAACCCAGGTCATGAGACTTGGCAGCAAGCACTTTTACTCACTGAGTCATCCTCTCGGCCCATCCTCTTCATGTCTTAAGAAATCATTTCACCTCACTCAACTCCCACCCTATATGAGGCTAGCCTTGGCAGAGGAGCTACCTTCACCTTACCTTGGCCACCCTCCCTGTCAGGACCCAGTTGAAACCTGGCTAGTTCAGAGGTAAAAGGAATCTTGGCTCCCTTACCCCAAACCATGACAACTCCAAAAGGTTATCAAAATAACTAGCAGGGTCAGCTTGAGTTTCATTAACATGTCATTGCAGTCCAAGGTCTCCCTCTGCCCAGCCCTGGTTATTTTTCTTGCCCCCTCTTCACCTTGAAGGAGCGCCCTCCTTAATGAGCTTCCTGTATGCAAATCTCTATCTGAGCACACCACTTTCCCAAAACCCCAACCTGTCCCAATGATGGGACTTCTTAGCACTGCCTTAGCCAGAGGGTGGCACTTGACATGTGAAGGAATAAGCAGTTGGGTGGTTCAGTCTGGTCTGCATTCTAATCATGGGAAACTATCGCTAGCCTTAGCTTGTATAAAAGACATAATGTTTTCATGAGCCTCACTTATAAGACAAAAACACAGTTCTCACCTCCAAAAGGATAAAAGATGGTTTATTCTGGAGTCAAATATGAGTGGCCATGGCCTGAAACATCTTTAGGGTACCCCAAATTCCAGGCCAACATGGTAACAGTTTCATGAAACTTTATATAGAGAGACACAGTGAAGAAAGCTATCAATCAGTACACTTTTTAGATACACTGGTGGGACGAGCAGGTAGGTGGTTGGAGCAGAGTGGGGAGGCTTCTCCTTTAGGCATCTGATGCTCTCTGATGACAGTCTTAGCATTTACGTTGGTGGATGTGAGGGCCCACTTATACATCCCAAGGACTTACCTGACAGTCACAGGAATGTAACATTACATACATAGGTGGGAACTAGGTAATTGTTAAAGGGGCTAAAGATGGACCCAGATAATCCCGCTCTGAACCTGCAGTGGTCCAACTTCTACACACCAGTGAAGTCCTAAGTCAGCCTGTGAAGGTGCAGCTTCTTTCAGGAAAATTTCATTCACATTACTGTACCCTGATCAGCCCCAATTCCTTCCAGTGTCACCACACAAGAGTCTAAGCTGTGTTTGGTGTTTTTTGTTTTGTTTTGTTTTGTTTTTTTGTTTTTTGTTTTTTTCTTACTTGAGGTTCTTTCAGGCTCAAGTTCATAGTATTCAGGATTTATAAGACTACTTGTACAATCTTCTAAAATGTTTTTTTTTTAGTTCTTAAACGTGAATATGTGTACCTGTATAGATTTATGCATATAAGAGAAGGCACTTTTGAAAGCCAGTGGTGTGGGATCCCCCTGGACAAAGTGTTGAGTGCTGGGAATTGAACTTGGGTCTTTTTCAAGAGCAAAATATGTATTTTATCACTGAGCCATCTCTCTAGCCCAATTGTTATTATTATTACATTTTTACATTATTATTTCTGTGTGTGTGTGTGTGTGTGTGTGTGTGTGTGTGTGTGTGTGTGTGTGTGTGTTTCGTGTTTGCCATGTGCTTGGAGATACTTGTGGAAGCTAGAAAAGGGCATCAGAACCTCTGGAGCTGGAGTTACAAGTGATTATTGGACACCTGACATGGATGCTGGGAACAGAACTGAGGTCCTCTGAAAGAGCAGCAAACACTCAACACTGAGCCACCACTCCAGCCCTCTGCATGTTTAATTTTAATTCTTCTCTCCTTATGTTTGATGATCAGAGTCTAAGGTATAATAACAACCAAGATGGAAGTGAAACACAAGCCATCTACCTAAATCAACAGAAATTGCATTTGAGATGTTTCTACACAAGCAGCTTTCTCCCCAGTTGTGTCTTTAAGAAAGCGTTGATGTTAGAACGAAATTCAGGGTCACAAAGAAAGAAAATGCTGCTCCCACTAAAGTGTCTGGACCAGGCAAAAGCATAGCTGTGAGGAGAAGCTTGTGCTACTCATGAAAGTGGAAGGGCATGCACGTGGGAACAGGATGTTAGTTTGGTTTTTATTGTACCTCAGATGATGACTGTCTTTTCCCCATTGTCTGGGTCTGACCTCACAGTCTTCCTCCATTGCCTCATTTTCAAAGAATCCTTGTGAAGGAAATGAAGGAAAGCAAGAGGGGTCACTTAAGTTGGGGAATGCTACAGGGTCTTTATGTAAACGAAAGACTTCCCTCGTGGGGTGCTGGGGGGCTAAACATTTGCATCAAGTTTTTTTTCTTTCTTTCTTTCTTCTTTTTTTTTTGTTTTTTGTTTTTGTTTTCGGAGACAGGGTTTCTCTGTGTAGTTTTGGAGCCTATCCTGGCACTCGCTCTGGAGACCAGGTTGGCCTGGAACTCACAGAGCTCCGCCTGCCTCTGCCTCCCGAGTGCTGGGATTAAAGGCGTGTGCCACCAACGCCTGGCTTGCACCACCAACGCCCGGCTTGCATCAAGGTTTTACAAGGTGAGGAAGATAAACACATGTGTATCCCTTGTGGTAATTGGAAGTTTTGCAGTTTTTGACAAAAGGGCTAATATTTAATGTTTCTGAACATCTGGGAGGGATAGAAAAACCCAATGGGTATACCACAGAGACAGCAAGGATCAGAAATGTTTACACAGTCCAGGAAACAGGTAGCTCATTGAACCACAGCATTTTCAGGAAGGGCAAAGGCCATAACTGCAACAGTCCCAAGTGTGGACCATGGAACAAGGAAGGAGACAGAAGGGTGGAACCTGAGAACTTGGAATACTTTGCAGAATCGGGGATCCAGCGATAGTTAGGAGTTGGGAGCTGACTAAGCCTGTGTGAACTGTAGCTGGTGGAGAGTCCTTTGTGTTACCAGGTGAGCACCCCAGGGTTTTCTACAACAACTCATGTCTGCCCTAGTCTGGATACCTGACAGGAAGTAACCCAAGAGAGGAGAGGCTTGATTGGGCTTTTAAGGAGATTAGGTCCATCCTTGTGGCAGGAGGCTCCTCTGTAGCAGGAATACATACAGCTAAGGCTCTTTACATCTTAATAGAACAGGAAGCAGAGAGTGAGTTGGAAGTGGTACCCAGCTATAAAACCTCAAGCCTAGGCCCTAGTAACCCCTTCTTGCTGCTAGGCTCTACCTCCCCAGGGATTCACAACATCCTAAAACAGCAACACCAGCTGGAAACTTTGTGTCAAAACACATGAGTTTATGGGGGACATTGCAAACCATAATGCCTAGCAGTCTCCATCTCCATGCCCTTTGCCTTATACCCATCTTCTCGGGTTCACACCGGGTGGAAATCACAGTGGAACTATTTGGAGGAGAACGCAAGCAGCAAAGAGAAGAGCACATATCCCTTTAAATGTATAATCCTACCACACACACACACACACACACACACACACACACACACCCACACACACACTCAATTCTCACTTCCCCATACCAGAAGAACCACAGCTCTCCCACACACCGCCTTCCAGGGCTTCCTAAGACCACATGGCAATGCAACCTGCTGTCCTGGTAAATTTAATGAAATGCTGAGGGTGTTGTGGGCAAACCATTGTTCTTCCTCTATCCTGGGGGCGGTAACATCATAGCAGGCCACTCTGCTCCACGTCACCTGCAGGTTCTTACCTCTCCAGCAGGTGTTGTTGTTTCAGCCAGTGATGAGACTGACAGGGTGGCAAAAAAACAGAAAGCCAAGTTTCCTCCCTACATAGCATCTTCTTCCTTAGAGTCCTGGTGAGGTCATGGCTAGAGAGTCAAGGGTGTGTCTCCCCCAAAAAGGTTCATAACCAAAGTTGATGACTGTCAATAAAGCAAAGCAGTGTGGGCTTCTTTGGTTTTGTTTGTTTGTTTGTTTCACTGTTTTAGTGTGTGTTACTGGCATATGTTAGCTATACATCATAATGGATTTCATTGTGACATTTTCATACATGTACATTATGTATTTCCATCGTATTCGCCTCCATGCCTGTCTTACTCTCCTCCAACTCTGGCTAATCCCCCCTTCCCAATTGTCCTGCTGCTGGCTCCTTTGTTACTATTTGTTTTTGATCTGTGACCCAAGGAGTTTGTTCTGGTTATTGGTAAGAGCCCAGGTGGCACCTGTAGGCTGTTTGTTATTGTTTGTATATATTCTTTCTAAAACAGGCCTGCCTCCAAAGCAGCTTTGCATTGCCACAAATGACCCCAAATGTCTTAAGGCATGAAGAGAAATCTTCAACATATCCCCATCCTCACTTTCCTGCCACTTTAAACACCTTTCTTGGCTACACGAGTTTAAAACTAGACACCACGTTTAGCAGGAGAATGAGCCCCGTCATGTCAATACATGCCCACAGCTGAGGATTCCTGAAACACTAAGAGCAGAAGCCTAAGCCTTCCAGAGGCAGGGAGGATTTCTTCCCAAGGGCTGGCCACCAAGCCAGTACAGCATCACCACCACCTATGGGAGAGAGAAAGAAAGGTGAGCGGAAAGCAAAGCAGAAGGCTGGGCCAGAGTGAGGGCCTTGAGCTGTCCCAGCTGTGCCTGCTCTGGGACTCAGGGTCCTAATTGAAGGAGGAGGCTGGGATCTGGAGCACACATATGACCTGGTATTATTTGCATGCCAAGCCCTGCCCCACCCTTCTCGAAATCCTACTAGTGAAGAACATGGCTCCGCCTTCCTGTCAATCTCTTGATTAAATAGGCACTTCCCTCCAGGAGGCTTCTGGAGTGCAGCACCTCCTACAGCTGCCAGAAGCAGCTCTCTCTCACCATGAGAGCCGTCCCTCTGCACCTGACCTGGACAGTAAGCCTTGGCCTTGGCTGCCTGCTCCTGCTTTCTCTCCACCTGGACCCAGGCCAAGCCAAGGAACTGAAGTTTGTGACATTGGTAAGTACACCTTTCTCATTGTTTTTTCCTGATACCAGAGAGTCAGAGAAACCAAATGTCACCTTTCATGTTTCCTTTCTGTTATCAGCCCGAAACCAGACGTTGTTCAGCCTTGAAAGTGAAAAGTCATGCAAGCTTGCTTTAGTAAAGACAGCGTTCTTTTTGCCGTTGATAGCATTGCTTCTTTACTTACTTTACAGCTGCCCTCTGGTCTGACTCCTTTTGACTGACAGGGGAAGTCACAGCTAGCCCTGTTCGTATGCCAGGAGCTAGCCTGGCTTCTTTCCACGTAATGATCATTTGTTTTCGAATCAAGAAACAGTCACTTTCTGAAGTTAAGTCACTCCTTATGTTTATCATGACATTAGAGCATATATTTGTTGTGGACATTTGGTAACACAAAAGAGAAACTGAACGCAAAATTTCAGAGTGACTACCAAATAAACTGATTTAGTTGATCATTAAAACATGATTTTCTCTACATACAGTCACTGTGATAAGCTGTGAATAAAAAGAAGACAGGTGTGTGTGTGCTGCTTGGTATGGGGGGGGAATATATATATATACAGCTGAGTGTTAGAAACATATGGAAAGTGGGTGTTCAAAGTTAAAGGTATTTGCCTCTCTCTTTCTCCCTTCCTTCCTTCCTTCCTTCCTTCCTTCCTTCCTTCCTTTCTCTCTCTCTCTCTCTCTCTCTCTCTCTCTCTCTGCTTCTTTTGTTTCACACCCTTCATTGCTACCTACATTTTGTATTCAATAAAACGAAAGTTGGCTAATTCATAAGCACGTTTTCCTTCTGCAAGAATACCCAGAAGCTATTTTCATGATTTAGAGAAAAAACACTCTTACTTAACACTTAAACATGGTTCCTCTCCTGTCAGTGTGAGGTGTTCTGGACATTCCTCTCTTTCTACAGAAAATCTTTAAGTTTACATAAATCATGATTCTTAGTCAGGTAGATCTTTACTGGTTTTGAGTCAAGAACAGAAGAGGAGAAAACCGAGGAAACACCATGCTCTTCCTGAAAACCATTCGTCAGCTGCCAGGCTTCTGTGTTGCTAGTGCAGGACACCCATGTGAACAATTCTTTCCCTTACACGCATGAGCTCCTTGCACTCATAGAAGAGTGTAGGGAGCATGGAATGGTTCTGTGTCTTGTCACACTGTGCTTGGAACCAGCTGACTGACTGTCAGACTTCTCTGAGGCACCAGAGTGAGCTCCAGTTAGCTGCCTGCAGCGGCAGCTCTCAGAGTTCCACCCACAGCCCAGGTAACTTGCCTCAGCTCTCAAATGGCTGTGGGTTTCCTTTCTATTCTTTCTGCCTCTCCACTCTCAGTTAATATATATTCAGTGACTACCAGTTAGTTTTCCTTAAAGAAACCAAGCTACAAAGGTAACTCTCTTACAACTCAAAAATTAACCAGTACAGCAGAAAGCAAACATAAACTGTTTTTTCCTACAGTGGCTTCCTTCTATAAATGTTAAATAATGGGCAACTTAATATATCTTCCTTGGCCTCTAACAAAACAACTTATCTCTGATGACATAAGCCAGAAAATATCATTTTCTTCCTTTTATTGATTATAGGGGCTATTTGATTGTGCAGAAATGGTTAGATTGAACATTCAGAGAAATCTTCAGAAGTTTATTGAGAGAACAAATAGAAGAGTGATGAATCTGGTGTGGTGAGGCACGCCTTTAGTCCCAGCACTTGGGAGGCAGAGGCAGCAGGATCTCTGTGAGTTCGAGGTCTGCCTGGTCTACATAGTGAATTCCAAGTAGTACATACCCCAAATCTAGTAACCCATTACTAAAGAGATGGAGCCAGCAGGATCAGAATTTCCAGGTCACCTTAAAAACTAGTACAAGACCAGCCTGGCCTATGTGAGATCCTGTCTCAAAAAAAACAAAAACAAAAACAAAAAAACAAAAACAAACCCCCCCACAAACTTGTTTTTCTTACTTTCAAGATGAAGATACAAGTGGCCAAGGTTAGGAAACTTGATGACTGTCATACAGGTAGGAAAACAGCCTCAAACCCACATGTACGATGTCCTTCAAGTTCACTAGATCCAGCTATTTCTGCTGAATGCATATAGCCCAGGACCTGGAACTGGTCCGAGAGGACTACAAAATGTGTAACATTACCCTGACTCAGAGGTTGTAGATGGCTTCCTTATTTCTCTTCCATAGTTCAAGGAAAATAAATCCTCAACTCCGAAAAGCTATTTGTGACAGAAAGAGGAGACTGTCCTTGATTCTTGTTCTCGCTGAAGAACAATTAGTTACCCATGTTTTGTTTTATTATTTATTTATTTATTTATTTATTTATTTATTTATTTTCATGGTGCTGGGGGCCCAAGGTCTCATGCATGAATCCAAAGACTCATATGTGACAGACAAGCAGCCAAGGAGAACATCTTCAGCCCACTGCTACACTGGACATACACACACACACACACACACACACACACACACACACACCATGGGACACATGTGTTAAGTCAGAGGACAGTTTTTGGGAGTTGATCTCTCCTTCCAACACTGAGTTCTCAGGATTGAAGTCAAGGCATCAGGCTTGAACAGCAAGCACTTTTACCCACTTAACCATTTGCCAGTCCTACATGATCTTGTGTTTCTATGTAGCCCTGGCTGTTCTGAAACTTGATCTGTAGATCAGGCTGGCCTTCAAATCAGAGATCCACCTGTCTCTGCCTTCCAAAAGCTGGGATTAAAGACTTGAACCACCACCTCCTGGCTAACTTACATGATCTTTTAAAACAAACTTACAAAAGTATTTCCCATGATATTGTGGTTTGACCACTTATTAACAGCTGGATGAAAAAGAAGCTAAGTCTAGTGCAGGTTTAGATGTGTTAAAAGGGTCTGTTTAAACTTTTGAATGAAGTGTGTCTTCAACAGACACTATGGATTTCAAGGAAGGAACCCACTTAGTAAACTGCTTCTTGGGATGACTCTGGCATCCACCTCCCCAGACTGTCTGTAGAGAACGGGTATTTTTAACATTGTAGAGAGAAGAGAGTAAGTATGCTGAGTCTTAGTGTATGCACTAGCCAGCCTTGGTAATTATCACCCAGGGTCAATCTTGCTTCTCCCATATACCTACTCATTTCCCACACACGCTAGCTTCCTTTCTTTTTACAATAATCTCAGGCATCATATTGTTCCACCAGAAAGAGAAGATGCCATTGTAAAAGCATCTCTGCCTTCAGCCAGAGAAAAACCACATGTCAGGTGATCTCAGACAGACAAAGATTCTGTGTTGCTCTTCCGGCTGTTTATAAAGAAAGGGATAATGACTCACAATACGTCGCCTCCTTTTATTCTTCAGGGCTGACCTTATTTCTTCAGTCTTACCTGAGTCACAGTACATTCTTGGCTCAAACAGCCTCCAAGCCCTATGCACATGGCCTCTTCAGGGGGATGAGTAGGCTCCCAACCAAGGTTGGGCCACCTCATCTTCTTCACTCCCACTCCTCAAGGAATGGCTGTCAATCCAGTAATAGTTTTCTAATGCTTTTTGTTAGGATAGAAGTTGGAAGTGATACCTAGAAAAGCACAGAATTTTTATTAATTCAATTCTGCTACTGTTAACCAGGTCTGGGAGCAGAGACAGGCCATTTAATGAAAACAGCTGAGTTTCAAGTTCCCTGAACTTAAAGTTGAGGATCACAACCATGGCTATGTTTCTACCTTTACAGGTCATCTTCAGGATCAAGTGGCATGATTTAGGTATGGAAGTATGAATGGGTCCAAGTGCTGCTGAAAGTCATGCAGACAGATTTTTCTTTGGGCCACCAGCTCACAAAACATGACACAGAGACTTATTAGTAATTATGAAAGTTTGGCCTATAACTTAGGCTTGTCCTATTAGCCCTTATAACTTAAATTAACCCATTTCTATTCATCTATGTGTTGCCGTGTGACTCTCAGCTTTTACTTCTCCTCCTGAATGTCTGTTCCCTCTGCCTCCACAGGCAACTCTTCTTTTCTTCTTCCCAGATCTCTCTGTCCCCAGAAGTCCAGCCTTAACCTCTTCTTGCCTACCTAATGGCCATTCGGCTCTTTATTAAACCAATCACAATGACACATCTTCATACTGTGTAAAGAAATATTCCACAACAGAGTCATCATCTAAAATGGAAGGTTTCTAACTTTTTGGTTTAATTGTAGATGATTTCTAGTCAGTTTTAAAGTTTACTATCTTAACCATTTTAAGAGTAGGCTTCAATGGTGTAAGTATATTCACAGACTTCCACCATCACCATGAATCTGTGGAACTTTCTTTCAAAACTGAAACTTCATACCCATTACAATAGTAGCTCCTTATTTTGCCCCCATCCAGGCCTGTCCAACCTTCAGCTCATGGGCAGCATCTGACCAAGAATATCTATCTATGCATTTGACCCAATACAAAATTGTAAATTCACCTAAATTTATTTTGCAATTTATTATACAGATGACAGTGTCTCATTACAATGTCAGAAGGTTTGACATACTTGTTAGACCTCTGGAAGTCATTGTCCTATTTTCTGTCTCTATGAGTTAAACTCTTCTAGCTGTCTCTTATTTTTAGAACTATACCATCGTTGTCTGTTGTGACCAGCTTATGCTGCTTACCATAATATCCTCAAGATCTGAGAAGACCCTTCATTTATTAACTTGTTAGTTAAATAGGAACAAAGAAAGGAGACAGATGTTAGACCGTTAACAGTTCTCCTACCATCCTAGACCAACCACAAAACTCATTTGCATATTTGTCTTCCCCACCTATTATCTCCAGCTTATTTTTCCCCCCTTGGGGACATTTAGTTCTGTGCATCTTGTGTGCTCTGTGGAGAGAGGCTGGGGGTGAAAACAGAGAGGGGCTATCATACCACAGTTCAGACAAAGAAAGCACTGTGAAGACCTGACTGGATCAGAATATAGTAGAATTGGAAAGCAGAAGTAATGTCATAAATTGTGCAAACAGAATCCA